CTTGTAGAACACTTGTGTGGGTCACTTGCAGGACACTCTTGTGGGACACTCTTACACGACACTCTTGTAGGACACTCTTGTGGGACACTTTTCACTCTTGTAGGACACTCTTGTAGGAAACTCTTGTGGGACACTCTTGTGGGACACAGGACACTCTTGTGGGACACTCTTGTGGCACACTCGTGTAGGACACTCTTGTAGGACACTCTTGCGGGTCACTCTTGTAGGAAACTCTTGTGGGACACTCTGTGGGACACTCTTGTGGGACACTCTTGTGGGACACTCTTGTAGGACACTCTTGTGGGATACTCCTGTAGAACACTCTTAACGGACACTCTTGTGAGACGCTCTAGTGGGACACTGTTGTGGGACAGTCTTGTAGGACACTCTTGTGGGACACTCTTGTAAGACACTCTTGTGGGACACTCTTCTGGGACACTCTTGTGGGACACTCTTGTAGGACACTCTTGTGGGTCACTCTTGTGGGGCACTCTTGTAGGACACTCTTGTGGGACACTCTTCTGGGACACTCTTGTAGGACACTCTTGTAGGAAACTCTTGTGAAAAATCCTGCGGGACACTCTTGTAGGACACTCTTGCGGGACACTCTTGTGGGACACTCTTATAGGACACTCTTGTGGAACACTCTTGTGAGACACTCTTGTAGGACACTCTTGTGGGACACTCTTGTGAGACACTCTTGTGGGACACTCTTAGGAAACTCTTGTGGGACACTCTTGTGGGACACTCTTCTAGGACACTCTTGTGAGATACTCTTGTCGGACACTCTTAAGGGACACTCTTAAGGGACACTCTTGTGAGACACTCTTGAGCGACACTGTTGCGGGACACTCTTGTGGGACACTCTTGTGGCACACTCTTGTGGGACACTCTTGTAGAACACTCTTGTGGGACAGTCTTGTAGGACACTCTTGTGGGACACTCTTGTGGGACACTCTTGTGGGACACTCTTGTGGGACACTCTTGTAGGACACTCTTGTGGGACACTCTTGTGGGACACTCTTGTGTGACACTCTTGTAGGAAACTCTTGTGGGACACTCTTGTGGGACACTCTTGTGGGACACTCTTATAGGACACTCTTGTAGGACACTCTTGTGGGTCACTCTTGTAGGAGACTCTTGTGGGACACTCTTGTGGGACACTCTGTGGGACACTCTTGTGGGACTCCTTGTGGGACACTCTTGTAGGATACTCTTGTGGGACAGTCTTGTAGGACACTCTTGTGGGACACTCTTGTGGGACACTCTTGTAGGACACTCTTGTGGGATACTCCTGTAGGACACTCTTAAGGGACACTCTTGTGAGACACTCTAGTGGGACACTGTTGCGGGACACTCTTGTGGACTCTCTTCCAGCTCCGCAGATACTCCGCGTACTAAAGTTGTACTACAAGGTCGCCAGTTCTCAGCTTCCAGCTCCCCAGATACTCCACGTACTACAGTTGTACTACAAGGTCGCCAGTTCTCAGCTTCCAGCTCCACAGATTGCTCCGCGTACTCAAGTTGTACTACAAAGTCGCCAGTTCTCAGCTTCCAGCTCCACAGATTGCTCCGCGTACTAAAGTTGTACTACCAAGTCACCAGTTCTCATGTTCCAGCTCCCCAGATACCCCGCGCACTAAAGTTGCACTACAAAGTCGCCAGTGCTCGCCTGCATTTCGCGCGCTCGACACGCACGTAACCGCTACCTTTCGTGAATTGGCCATCAATCGGTTCAAAACCAGTGAACACTCATCCATTTCATCAATCAGTCCCAAAGGGCCACAATGTGCCAAGGTTCTTCAATTCCTTCAGATAGACTTGGGAACGTTCAAGACGGCAGCTCGTGAGGCAAACCTGGTGAAGTGCCAAACAAACTATGAACCAATCGACTCTTGCGAATGTCTTTCATTCTTCGCAGGGGCCTCTGTCATTTGTTCCAAATACATCACATATTGCTTGGCCTCCTCAGCATGGACGAACCAGTCCACTAAAGAGATTGCTGATGAAGAGTTGATTTGACCAGCGTTTCCCTTCCCTGCCAAGTAGCTTTGACCCGTGCCTGAAAAGATTGTGGCCGGTTTGATCGCTCCACTTTGCAAAGAAACTCGACAAATTCCTAAGTTCATAACCTTTGGTTTGGCCTGCCAAAGCAAAGTCGAAATATCAGAAAACATGAAAACATGGGCATACAGCATCCAAAACAAGATGGAACCGACAAACCCAAATGCACACACTTATAGAAATGCGCACGGACTCGAATGCCGCTCGCCACACGGCAACCTAAGAAACAAAAATCCTGAACAACCAGGTAAGGAGGCCTGAGCACCTGTAGTGAAAGGCCAAAGTTCCAACTCCACGATACGACGAACAGGTCGAAATGGCGGCGGCCGCTCTCGTCTGCAGACTGGTAACAGATTGTGAACACCACAACACGGCAGGTACGTCACGGTGATCAGCCGTGATATCCGCATGTACTGTGGCCGCTTCGTTGGACCATCGCTCACAGCACATGGATGGTCCTGCATTCAAACCGTTAACGAAACAATCCAAAAAGGATCCCTGTGATTCCAAGGTGTACACACACTTATAGAAATGCGTACGGATGTGAATGCGGTACCACACGCCAGCCTAAGAAACCAAATCCTGAAAGTCCAGGGAAACCCTATGGATTCCGGGGGTCTTCAAAAGGAGAGGGGACCAAAAGCTCAAGTACAAACCACGCAAAGCCTACAGGTCTCCAACTCCGAATCGACAAACTCAACTCCAAATCAACAAACTCAAAGCAACGACGCACATCTGCCGATGAGAAACCGATGCAAAGGCTGGACATCTTGTTCTAGTTATAAGCGGGGCCCACGATGAAAGTTCTCAGGTAAAACTGCAGGTACGCCAGACTGATCAGGTCTGGTCCGCCAATTCATGGAGGGGCGGGCGTGGAGAGAGTAATATCCAAGATGAAGTCAGCCACTCAAGCTAAATGGCTGCAGTATCCAAAAGGTAGTGTTGTAGTGACGTCATGAGTAAATGCACAAACCAAAGAGGGCGTGAAAAGAAAAGAAACCAGGGTAAACTAGTGAAGCAGGTTTGAAATTGCGTTTCTATCCGCAGCGCCGCAGAAATTGAAGATAAGAAGTGGGAAACTTCAAGGAGACGATGGGAAGCACGTACGGCCTCCTAAAGAAGGACGCCGCTATCAGGTGTGATCCTCGTTGGTGGAGCGGTAGGGAGGGAGCAACGTAGATGGCGGAGGACGTCAAGGACATAGATCCCGAATCTGGGACGGGTAGGTCCGCACCTGTGACAGGAGGAGAGAATGGTAGATCAACTCCAACTTGGTGGATGGTCCGGCAGCCTGAGAGGGCTCAAGACGTGGAGCCGAGTGAGGTGGGCCGGTGTCCGTGGAGGCGTGCAGCTCTTCTTGGTAGCTGGACAAATTGTGAACATCAATCAGTTGATGCTGTTTCTCAGGAGTCAGGCGGCGAAGTGCAGGATTCCCAGAGATGTCCATTTCAGTGTGAAGCGTTGGATCATACTCTGGATCAGGAGATCTACGCGCTCATGCTCCAGATTGTCGACTGCGGTGCGACGAGGAATGAGCGTCCGGACCAGAAGGTGTTGTTCCTCTTCGAACAGGGCTTGCTCCCATCGGTCACAGGCCTCCCAAATGGGAAGACTGGCAGTTGCCAACCACGGGTGTACCACACGCGATAGTGATGGTCCGACCAACTCGTGTAAGGGGTGTTGATCAAGAAAGAAGCCATTGGTGTGCTTGTAGTAGTCCACGTCCTGGTCGTTTTCTCGCGGAACCATGCGCGATAGAACCAATTTCTGACCCTGCCAAGACCACAACAGGTCCATTCTTCATGGGGAGGAGCGGAGAAGAATTGCGGTCAACCCGAGGGAGACTGGGAAGCGCTGTGGGATCAAATGGAGGTGAATCCACGGAGCCCAGCTCTACAAGTACACCTTCGGGACCAATGGGTAGCAACAATTTTGCGCATAGCTGGGCCTCTTGGTCGCTCAAGATTGGTACATCACCAGGTGGAGTCGGGTCCAATGGAGATGGGGTATCCGCAACCTCGGCAACGTCGTCTGCGGCCGTGTTGTCAGTGGCTTCTATGGAAGTTGACATCAACGCGGATGAGGGGGGGGCCAAAGCGGTTGGGCGACGCGCAAGCAAGCGGAGGTCCCAATGGCTGCAGGAAATGGAGAGGGTGTGATACCATGTGGTCATCATGGGAGTGTGGATCAGGGTGTAAACCCGGGGAAAAGGGGAAGTAAATCAGTATACATTGAGGGAGAGGGTGAGAAAAGGGAAAGGTGAGGTGTTAACAGGTGGGGGAGTGCAAGTCAAGAGGCCTTTTGAACTGTGGCGGAGAAGATCCAAATGTGAAACTGAAATTGGTTAGGAGTCAGAGTTTGCCTCCGGCAAACAAACAGGTAAAGATGGATGAGGAATGCGAAAGCGTACACGTTCACCTGTTGGTTTGATCAAGTACCCGAAGAGTCCCGGAGCCAGTGTCCTACCAGTTGTAGTCGAGGATGAGGAAGGTCGATCCGAGAGTGGTGGAACAAGGTCAGTCAAAGGGCCCTAATCGCGCAAGGTGGATGGAGGTTCCGTAGGTCGAGCTTTCTTGGGAAAGGTAGTGGAAACAATCTCTGGTTCATCATGGTCGCGTCGGTGGGGTGCCATAGATGGGCGTGGTCTGTGTGTCGAGGTAGGCGTCGATGTAGCTGGTGCCGTCTGAGCGGTCGAAGCATGAAGCTGAGAACAAAGGGGAGTGAAAAGAGAGAGGGACGAGATTTGAGCCGAAAGTGCTGGAGGATGGAAATCAAGACTGCAATCCATGGAAAACGAGGAAGCGCGGAAGTATGCTCGAAAGTGGATGAGAGGGACTCAATTCAAGGGGGGAAAGAACAACCAAAACGGGCGATAGGGAATCCCGGTTAAAAATGTATCAAAGCGTGCAAGTCGAGGGTTGTGATGCACGGAGTCATGAGACCGCTGGCAACTAGTTTTGATGTCTGACGAATCCGGTGAGTTCAAATGTGAAGAGGGAAACATCCAAGGATTCAGTAGTAAGTCTTCAAGTCGAAGGAGCTGGATCAGGAGCAACTGCGCGTTGAATCTCCAAGAAGTCAACCCAGCGTGCTTGTATTTGAGAAAGTGGTCGTTGCATTTTGCGAGCCACATATTGCCAGCTGGGACGTAGTCGTAGTCGTTCATTGCATTTGAGGCTGAGAAATAAATCATCATCATGGGCGCTCCAATCATCATCCCAAGGAGTCTTGGATCGAGGGGGAGGAGAGTGAGGGTGGGGGACATGAGGTGAGGGGGGTTTTGTGCCCTGAGAAGAGGAAGGAAAGCCGGCAAATTCCAACGAACCTTTAAAAAGCTTCGGTCGCTCTGACCACGTTGAGGCGTTAAGCCAGCTTGGACCGCTGCGGTCACGTAAAGGCATGAGCCAGCTTGGAATTCAAAAAACCATCAAGTCTGAGTACTCTCGGCCTAGGCCACCTACGCCCGCTCTGGGCGCGTACATCTCTGGGCAGGGGAGATAAAGACAAACACCGTTCGACGGGTCCACAGCACTCACCCTGCGGGCTCACCCTGGGCTCTCACTAGGAGAGACACACTTATAGAAATGCATACTGACTTGACAGCGGTGCCACACGCCAGCCTAAGAAACCAAATCCTGAAAAAAACAGGTGAGGTCCACGATACGACGAACAGGTCGAAATGACGGCGGCCGCTCACATCTGCAGAGTGCACTAGCCCTTTATGGAAGATGAGGGTGACAGCTTTGTCAACAGTTTCAAAAGCAGGTACAGAAGTTTGCGTCCAAACTTCCATCCAGTCGATTTCCATAGCTTCGTTGGCGTGACTAGGAAATCGACCGTCACGCCCCCTGCTAGCAACAAAAGCAAAAGGACAGGCAGTACATTCCAAAAGGATCCCTGTGATTTCAAGGGTCACACACACACGCTCGAAAACAAACAGCCAAACATTGCTTGACACTCTTGTGGGACACTCTTGTAAAACCCTCTCGTGGGGCACGCTTCTGGGACACTTGTGGAAAACTCTGGTGCGGCGGTCTTGCGGGACACTCTTGCGGTGCAGGACACTTTTGTAGGAGACACGCTTGTGCGACACTCTTGTTGGAAACACTCTTGTGGGACATTCTCGTGCAAAACTCTTGTGGGACACTCTTGTAGGACACTCTTGTATGAGACAGACACTCTTGTATGAGACACTTGTGGGACACTCTTGCAAAACACATGTGGAACGAGCGCTTCGAACGCTGCATCCTCCGCACTTCAACATGTTACGTTTCTAATTACGCTATTTCACACGAATCGCAATTTCATGCTTCCATCCAAAACCTCTTCCAAAAGCTTCCCCCACTGTCAGCGCCATAGAGGTCTCACACGGACGGTTGCGAACGGTTGTGCAACGTCGAGCGAACACAGTCTTACCCCCTGAACACCCAAATGAAACGGGAACCCGTGCTACACATTCGGAAAAAATAAGAAGAAGGAGAACGTTGGCATACTCTTTCAGCAACTCAGAAGAGAAAGATTATGCTCTCTTGCCGTCTTCTTCTCGTACTGTTCCTCCACTTTCTTGGGCCAGGGATCCTCAGGGCCAAGATCAACACGATTGCAAAACCTCATCAAATCTGCCTCATTTCCCCGCATTCAAAAGGGTTTCGCATGCAGCATTAACACCTGCAGTTCCAGCTTTCCAACAGGAAAGGCTCAGTTTCACTCACCAAACATCCTCAACCCCCCACCTCTGCCTTGCAATCATCCAGATTTGTGCAGCAGGGCCGACTACTCAGATGCCAGCTCGGATTGGGGTGTGGATGAAACACCGGTAGGAACTCAATCTCAATTCTCAAGGCTAGCCGGCTAGCCCACTTTCAACCACTCCCCGAGAAAAATTAGGGATTTGCTTCAGATCCTGCAGCTCATTGCTGTAAGAAACTGTCGCGCTTGCATTGCCTTCCGCAGATTTGACCAGGAAATGCTAATGCTATAAAGAGAAATCCACGAGGTGTTTCACGTTTAGACACTTTTGTGATGTCTTCCGAGCTACCATACCCGTTGGCTTATTTCTGTTCATGAACAATTCATATTCATATGTATATAACTCTCGCTATTACCTTGCAGTACCTTACAGTACGGGTCTTGAGGTGGGGCTTTGAACCCACTGAGAAGCAACTTTAGGAACAGCTCCCAGAAACAGCAAGGCAAAAATAGAGGGCTGGTTCCTAGTCGTCCGTAGACTAATGTAGCAATGTGTCCAATCACAGTGTTGACCTTGGGAAGCAAGAGTCTCCTGTGTGAGAATCTTAGATGAGCAATTAATGCATCGGGCAAATGAGGAATTGTGCTCTCGGAGAAGTTTTTCACATGAGTAGGCTTAGTCGTCTGGATAATCAAGAATAGGAAGAACGACCACCAATTATGAGAATTATGCATTGTCTAGGTATGGTCCCCTTCCATCTCCAGCCAGGTGACTCAGGGCAGGTGCTCCATCCTTCTCTGTTCCTTTTGCATTCCATCGTCTTCTCGTTCTCCAGCTCCCCGCATACACACTTGCACCTACTTGAGACTCAAGAAGGGCCCCAGGTGAACCATTCAAAGCCAGAACGACACGTGCCATGGCTGGCCTCCATTGATGATTGCTTTTGCCAGTAATGTAGTCGCCCTTCCAAGTAGGAATCGCCTGCATCTTAAAGAAAATCAAGGTTGCTTCAATAGCAAGGTGTGTTCTTTGCTTCAACCTCTCCACAACCCTCCATCTCCACGGAGTTGACTGCCACCTGCAGCTTCATTTTGGCTACCTTCAGCATCTTCTTGGCCTGACTGTCAATAGGTAAAGCAGCGGATTTTTTCTCTAAGTAGAGAGATGAGGCCAACTGGGACGACTCGGGCTCTGGGGCTCTTACAGTTGCGAGTCGTTCACTCACATCTCTGCACTCCTTGGTCGGAGAGGGGAAACTGGTGCTTTGGAAAAGGTAGAACATGGGGAAACCGGAAACCGAGTTTATAACCAAGCAGCTAAGATGAGATGAACCTGTCAGTTGGTCATCCGTTCTGGACAGCTCGGCTTGTGCTCAGGATTTGGAGCGGTGTCAGCATCAAGTTGTGGTGCCAAGTCATTTGAAGCACCATCTCTGATTGGGACCAGTGTTGGAGCCCCACATCTGCTGAACTCCCTACAAACTGCCCACCTCCGAACCAAAGCCTAAAAAGGAGACGGCTTCCTGGTTCCTCCTGCCTGGGTGAAAACCAACTCGCTTCAACGAACAAAGTCAATTGAGAATACCTAAAAGCATTACACCCAGCACTCAATCTGCTGCAGTGGGTAGGGTCCAATCATCCATTTTCCAAAAGTGTTGTTCCAAGTGCTCAACAAGAGTCTGTCAGCAGGCACTCCTTGTCCTCTGGCACGCACTCCTGCTTCCAGCGATGGAGGTAGTATGGATCTGTCTCCTCCCAAGACAGTTGTGGTGAGCACATGGTCCAATTCCTCTCAAGCGCACTACAATGGATCAGCTCAGTAGGTCCTTGCAATCCTGAGTTGTCCAAGCAAATTGTCCCAGAATACAATACAAAACGAGTGCTCCTTCAAAGGAAGAAGAAACTGCACCCGCAGCGACACTCATTTTTCAACAGAAGGGGTGGCCATGGGGCCTGGGTTTTGGTTTTCCATAAATGTTCATAAATATTAGGTAAATGCATCAGTGCCACAATCAAAACCAAAAAACACTGATAAATATGCATAAAGGATAAAAACCAAAAAAGAACTAAAAAAGCCTTAAGAAAACAAAAAACAAAAAAGAACAATTCTGGGAGACTCTTGGCTGGACCCCCCAAAATCAGAAAAAAACAAAAACAAAAAAACCTTGGGAAAACCAAAAAAACCTAAAAAAACAAAAAAAAACAATTCTCAGAGACTCTTGGCTGGACCCCCTTTTCCTCAAGACTTCCCCAGAATTGTTTTTTTTGGTGTTTTTGGTTTTTTTGGTTTTCCCAAGGTTTTTTTGGTTTTCTGATTCTTCTGATTTTGGGGGGTCCAAGCAAGAGTCTCTCAGAATGTTTTTTTTGTTTTCTCAAGGTTTTTTGGTTTAGCATCTGAGCTCACTTCTCACCTCAAGGCATCTGTTCTTTTTGCTTACATCTGAAACCGTCTGAGCTCAACACTTCATTTGTCCTTGTCCAAATCTCCATATACAAGTCTGAGTGCATTAACTGCTGACTGGTATCAATGCGGTTGCCACTTGCATTTCCAAACAGCTTGACATGCAGTTGCGAGGACACTCTGTCCTTTACATGAAACGGTTGGAAATCTTTGCGAGCGTACTTCTGTGCTTGTAGCTCAAGCGTTTACATCTTATTCTGGCGAACTTCTAATTTTAATTTCAATTCCTTTCTAATTCAACTCTCATCTAATTTCAATTAGGCTATAGTTATAGTTCAATACAAGTTTAGTTAAAATTCGGTTTTGATTCAGTTCTATCTTAGCTCTAACTCAAATCCAATTTAATTCTACCTAATTCTATTCTAGCTCTAGTCTATTTAGTTTAAGAGAACACATGCTACAAAACCCCGTGTTTTACAGTATTTTTTGCTGTGGAAGTGCTGGGAACAAGACTAAAACTCTTTTTGGGAGTAAATAGTTAGATTTATTTATTGTCAGTAATCATTGGAGATCATATATACATATTAAACATGTTGTATGTACAAGCTTCTAATTCAAGAGCTTCCCTCTAGATCTCTGGGGATGATCATTTCTACAATAAAACTATATATAAGCTTTCATTTCAAAAGCTTTCCCCTGGATCTCTGGAAATGGTCGTGTCAATTTATACATGCTATATATCAATAAATAAGTCTTTCTTTCAAGAGCTTTCCTTTCATGAAAACACATATACATATATATATATATGTGGGATATCTACTTTCCCGGAGATCCTGAGGAAAGCTTTGAAAATGCAAGCTCTTGCCCGCAGAAATCTAGAAGAAAGCTTTTAACATACAAGGTTTCTATATAGTTGTTTAAATCTAAACATGATTATCTGCAGAGATCTATAGAGAATCTGTTATAACATAAAAGCGCCTATATACAATCTTTCCAAATCAAAATATAATTATAAGCAGAGATCTAGAGGACAATTGTTAAAACGACCACTTTTATGGCCTGCTTCTTTTCTAATTATCTTGTTCAAAACCATCTGAATGATTGATTGCTGCTTCCAAAACAATAAAATTACCCTGACTCAGGAATACACAATATATTTGTTCGTATAGAGTGAGAGCAAGAATAGATATGTGTGTTTATATGGAGAGGGGCTGCCACTGAAGCATTTACCTAAAATTTGGGGAAAACCAAAACCCAGGCCCCATGACCACCCGCTCTCTTTTTCAAAAGGCAAACCAAAAAGGCTGATTATGCATAATACAAAGGTTTGTGGTCAAGATTGAAAAACTCGCACATGTTGTTCTTTCAACAGCAGGTCAACGACACAAATGAAGGGCCACATGACTGGCAAAACATTGACAAGCAAGGCATCTTGACGACCATCTGTTTCATTTGTTGGGGATCCACAGCAAAAACTGGCTATGAAGGACAAGCCACGATAGCCCACAGCGGGCAGCAAATTCTCTTTTGGTGCTCGTCCTGCAGAAGATCCACGTTTCATCACGAAGACAAAACTGTTCGGCCAGGCTCTTCGAAGTTGAGACCAAGGTCTCTCAAAAGCGGTATCGAATGCCAAGCGTCTCATCCTCTTAAACTCCAATTTGACACATAACACATCAATGCTCTGCAAACTATACAGAAAATCTAAATGGACACAGCACCATGTCCCAGTCCGTTGTTCGCGAACACATGTCATCCAACCGCCCCCACTCAGAATGCATCCATTCTTTTTCTTCATCACCTGGCAGGAAGGTTGATCAAGTTCCGAACTCCGTGCTGCTGGACCGATTTCTAGCCATGTCCAAGCAATTGTCATACTGAGTGAGTGAGCCGTGTGCCCAGTTTTTCAGGACAAAGAACAGCCACTCAGGCCACAGCTGAGCCCATACTCTTTCATCTGTCCACATGCGCAGCACGTGGTGCTTTCTTGGCAACGTCAAGCTGTCTGCTTTCACGTTTCCAACAATGTTGGCGTCTCTCGAAATGGTTACACCCCCAAACACCCTCGTCAATATGAAAGTAGGAAAAGTGCATATTGATTACCAATGGCGTTTGCGCCTCAACATTTGGGGCAGCGCAATCCGCAGAAAACAGTATCATATGGACTGGACAACTCACAACATGTTTCTGTCAGTTAGTTTTCGCTACCATTAAGTTTCAGTTTGATTCAATTCTCCAATTTGCCAGTTCTCTTTAAGTGTCAATCTTTTTCTCGCTGAGTGCCAAGCTCCCAGTGTCATCGCAATTGCGAGGCAAATCAAAATAGACCACCTAAATGTCATCCGTGAAGCAAGAATGTTCAATATCACGGGTCATAGAACTGTGCAAAAAGACATTGGGCCAGGCAGCCTGTGAATGATTCGCAAAGTCTGACTCTCGGATCGCATAAAGTAGAACGACCTGCAAGATCGAGTAAACTGGTTTGCAAACCAATCTAGCCTGGATTCAGACGCCTCCATGAGCGTGAACAGCAGCTGCAGCCACTTCATAGCGAACCTAAGAGCATTTCCATCATTGGCCCGCAATATCGAACTCTACAATCGCAAAACAACAAAAAGCATTGAGTGAAGCCGAGGGGCAGAAATACAGGAAAGTCAACTCTTTGTTTGAAAGCAACTAACGGTTTGTAAAGCCAGCCAGCTTGAACACACAGCTGCAAGACTTTACAAGTTCTGAAAAACAGTCCTCCCAAGCATTAATGCACCTGTCTGCTCAATGAAACCATGCCATGTCCATGTTCTTGTGAACAAAGGTCATAAAGATCACATAACAAGGCGGCACAATGTCACAGACAAGGCCTCGTAGAATGAATGTGTTTGAGTCTTTCTACCGTTGAAAGCTCGGTTAAAGGTTCCAGTTCAAATTCCTGCCTTTGTTCAGGTACAATATAGTTTGTAATCTGTATGTTTCATGTATCTCCTGCAAACGCTGGCGGCATTTGACATTTCACCTCAGTCTTTCATTATTTCTCTCTCCTTTGACTCACCTTGAAATCCCGAAACATTTGAGAACATTGCAAGCAGCCAACGCAACGCATGATAAACCAAAAACATGTTTTTTTCCTTCCGGGCGCTCTCTGAGGTCTAGCCTTGCATCGCTAAGAAGGTAAATTAAGGCGGGTGAGACAAGGTAGGTGAAACCGACAGGTGAAACAAGACAGACCCACAACCCGGCTCTCAGGACGGAAAGAAAGAACTCCAAGTAGGGACAAAGAGACGTTTGTGATTTGTCACCTTGCGTTTTCTTGCCCCATCAGTGCTTTGCAAGTCTGCTTCATTAACAAGAGGAGGAGAGGAGTGGCTAACGAGAGACTTTTAAAGAACCTGCAGCCTGACTGGTTTGCATGGAAGTCAAGCTGCAAGAACTGTTTTTCATCATTGTCTTCCTTGGGCGCGCGTTGCAAAATCGGAGCCAAACGTCGCAAGAAGGAACCTGCCCCATGCGCAGGGATCGAAAGCAAGTCCGCCCGCACCGAAGGTGCCGAGGCGTTTTTATAAGGCACGCGTTATACCGCAAGTACCGCAAGTACTAAATAACTTTAGCTAGGGGGGGGGCCATTTTCGCTCTAGAATGCTGTGTTTTATCACGTTTTTAGAATCGGCTTAAAGTGCTGGAAGATACATTTGTGTTAACTTTTGCTATCTTGAAGCCTTTAGTGATGCAAGAAATGCAATTTTCTGGTATGCATCATCTGCATCATCTGAGCGGTAAAGTGCGCTAGAAGTCATTATCTAACGGACGTGTCTGCGAGATAGGGACTTGAACGTCCGGGTACGTGGCTGGTCCGGCGCAGAGATAAGGAAAGATAAGGTCAGGAGCAGACTCACGAGCCTAGCTCCCATATGGTCGGACATAACTCCAGAAGTCACTATCTTAAGTATGCTTCGCCGAGATGGGTACTTGAACGTCGTAAACATGGCCCAACGAAGGCTCGAAAGGGATTGGAATAGAGTGAAGATTGCCTTACATAGCGCTAGAAGTCACTATCTAAAGGACGTGTCTGCGAGATAGGGACTTGAACGTCGTAAACTGGAATAAAAAAACCCTCCTAACGTGGCCAAACATAGCTTCCATATTGCCTGACATCATTCCAGAAGTCACTATCTTAAGTGTGCTTCGCCGAGATGGGTACTTGAACGTCGTAAACATGGCCTAACGAAGGCTCCAAAGGGACTGGAATAGAGTGAAGATAGCGCTAGAGGTCACTATCTGAGGGACGTGTCTGCGAGATAGGGACTTGAACATAGCTTCCATATTGCCTGACATCACTCCAGAAGTCACTATCTTAAGTATGCTTCGCCGAGATGGGTACTTGAACGTCGTAAACTGGAATAAATAAACTCTCCTAACGTGGCCAAACATAGCTTCCATATTGCCTGGCATAGCTTTAGAAGTGGCTTGACAGGAGCAGAGATAAACAGAGATCAAGTTCAGGAACGGTAACATTTTCTCACGAGCATAGCTTCTTTTTGATCGCACATAGCCCCCGAAGGCACTATCTTAAGGTGTGCAGATCCGGTTTAGGAACGGTAACATTATCTCATGAGCATAGCTCCCATATGGTCGAACATAATCCCAGAAGTCACTATCTCGAGTATGCTTCCCCGAGATAGGCACTTGAGAAAACTATGTCGGGCCACGTTAGGACAACCGTTACCCTTACTTGACCTTATCTCTGCTTATCTCTACTCCTATTGAGCCGAATTGCGCGATCTTGAGCTACCTTGAGAAAAAGCACCTCGATTTGCGACGTTCAAGGCCCTATCTTCCTTTCATACTGACTCCCTTGGTTCCATGAGCACAAGACCCCCTTCCAGATCGTGTTCCTTACTGCCGGTAGCAGTCTTTTGACCCTCCAACTACATTGGGCCATGATGACCGGGAGGGGATCACTTCCGGGGCTATGTTCGGTGCAAATATTGTCCCCTGCCATGCGGTGCGGGCGGTTACCGTCGCGAAGCGACGTGAATACCCCCCCGGGCAAAAGAGAAAGGGGAGCTCGCCTCAGGGCACTTGCAGGCAGGACTGCGAAGGTAAAATCCACCTGAACTTGAACTCACAAGGGGGCCAAGCCTGAGCTCCAATTGAAACAAGCCACGATCGAAAGCAGAGCACAACCAGAATGATTCTGTCAATTTCACTCGATTGTCGACAAATGAAAGGAAACCACCCATACAGGAGATGCCTTCTCGGCCTTTTGGCCATGATCAAGTGCAGTCGCGCTTGCGCTGGCATGGCACTGAGCCAGTGGCAGCACATTTACAATCCTCGGAACTCCGCTACCATGTGAAAACACGGACGCGCAAGCTTCCCTTTTGATCCCGCTCACTTGAGCCAAAGTCCCACAGTCGGTTCAGACTGTCTCAAAACTTGTCCAAAGCTTCTCAACTCTTCTGAGGCTTGACTGCTCACAGTTTCTCACCAACCGCTTCTCTTGGCTTCTTCCAGCCACTTCTGGTCACATCAAACCTTCTCAAAGGTTGCACTGCCAAGTGTCAAAACAGAAACACCAAAAAGACCAAGAACCCAAATCAGCTCAACTCCAAGTCATCAAAAACAAAAATCTACCTGAGAAAAAGGCACTAGGTGATCCACACCCAATACAAACATGGCACGCACTGCCTTTCACCGTCCAGAGGAACCCACAGTTGTTACACCGCACGAGGGAGACTGACTGAAAACAAGCCAGAGACAACGACCTGCAAGGATCGAGAAGCTCTGTGGAAACTCAAATTCCGGTGGCAATTCGGAAACAAGCCCTTTCAAAACAAAGTTTTTCTCTGTCTGTGAAACCTTCCCTTTTGATCCCGCTCACTTGAGCCAAAGTCACAGTCGGTTCAGACTGTCTCAAAGCTTACCAGAAGCTTCTCAACTTTTCTCAAGAGAGGCTTGACTGTTCACAATCTTCTCAAACAGGTCTGATACCCACCAAAGGGCAAAGAACTATCTCCAAACAATCTCAAGTTTCCTCAAACTGCACATAGCTCTACTAGGTGCTTCTCTAGGCTGCTTCTAGCCACTTTTCGTCACATCACATCTTCTACAGGAACAATGTGAAGCGGCCAAGCGGATCACGACGCATGCGAAAAATCTTGTCCATTGACGGCCCCAAAACCAAGCGCCAAAAACGCAGTGGATTCCAGGGTCGCCAAAGTGGGCCTCCCCAGTTCAAGAACATGTGTGGGCATAAACGTTCGCAGGGCGTGGAACAATTGCTCGCGGCGCTGCAAAACCATGGGAACCCAGTGGCCCAGCGGTATGCAAAACTTCTGCCGCGCACCTGCGGAAACAATCGAAACTTGCACTATTTTTCGCCCGGCGACAAAATTTTGCCGACAAACGGCCCCCGTTTTGGGGTCCAGAAACGGACCCCAAAAACGGGGGCCAAGTCGTCCGGACACAAGCAAATCAAATTGAGACTGAATGAGTGGCCTCCATTTTGGGGTCCGTTTCTGGACCCCAAAACGGGGGCCGTTTTGTTGGCAAAATTTTGTCACCGGGCAAAAAATAGCAAGAGTTTCGATTGTTTCTGCGCGTACGCGACAGAAGTTTTCCATGCCGCTGCTTTTCCATGGTTTTGCAGCGCCGCAGGCACTTGTTCTCCACACCCTGCGAACATTTATGGCCACACATGTTCCCAGGAGGTGGTCATTC